GAAGCTATTTTGACTCTTAAAGTTGTAGATTTTTTAAAATAAAAGTTCAATAAAGTAATACTTATCGATTGAATATGACAGCAAAAATATCTGTACACATTAAAAAATAGTTTTATTAAGCGGGACTGCACTACTTGCAGCTACTTGCGCCATCCATATAGCAAACAATGCCTAAGCGGTACCTGTTGATCGCCCATGATCTCCTTTTTCTTATGTTAATTGAGAGCTGATTAGATGAGATAACCACCTGTCAGTGACCATGCAGGGAGGTATAATCCATCCTGGCCAAAGTAGGGCTATGGAAAATTACGATTTCAAAATTAAAATAATTTGTGAACGCAGGAGACCGCCATCTTGCTTGATGTCGATGGCGACTCCAAGGTAAAAAGCCAACACAGAGTTTACAAATTAAAAGAAAATATGTCACGAGGGTGCAATGCAAGTGAAGTTGTGGTAGAAATATATGAATCAGTTTTTTTAATGGGTACAATGAATAATGAACTACATCAGTAATTCTTTTGGATTTGGTCATTTCCTAAGATGCGGGTAGGGTGTGTGTGAATGGTACTGTTTTGATTTTGAAATAATGAACGAAGTTGGTAATTATATTCTATTTGAACAAACAAACACGGCAAATTAAAAAAAAATGTTTGAATCAGTGACCTTCAATGTATTTAGCTTTAAAAATAGGGGATCTTAACGGAAAAAAGTAGAACGATCCTGTACAAATACGCAGTGCCCGATTTTGTAGGGAAATAATAGGACTGAGTTTGGTATTACCGCAGTTTGCCTCAACATTATTGCAGTATGTTATACGAGTAAAATTGTACAAGTATCAATGTGTTATATGGTAAACACATAGTTGTTTGTGGCAACGTAAATGTAAACTTATAAACGATTCTCACTTCTCGAGAAATGCATTCTACAATATGATAAATGTGATCATTCCATGTTTTCATCACTTATGTTCTCATCAGTGACAACTCCCAGGAACTTAGAACTATTCTTTTGCCCAAGGGAATGTTATGAATATTGATATTGACAGGAATATTGGCTGTATGGATATTATTGTGTTTGAAATGCATATAGTTATTGTGTTTTCTGAATATTAAGATAAAGCTATAATTGCCCTCACCTCAATTCAAAACATTTAGTAAATTCAACATTCTCTATTTTTATAATGATTTTTGGTTCTTAATTTTTTAAAAACACTATATATTATTGTCTTTTGCCAATCATTTATGTCTTATTCATTGTGGATTATCACGTTTGTGTATAATAGTCATTGCAACTCTTTTTTGAAACTCCACAAAAGATAATAATAAAGTAAAAGAAAGGCTCTCAGTTAAGTCATTATCTATCTTTTCACCAACTAAATGAAATAGATGGATGTTAAAAAATAATAATAAACATAATATATCGATGTGTATACAAGTAAAGTACTGTCAGGAAGTGTGCTTTAATATTGAAAAGAAAACACATAATTGTTTCACCAGAGATGGTAATATGGCTTGGTATCAAGTATCATTATAGTAATAGAAACGGAGAGGGAGAAGAAATACAAGAAATAAGGAAACAGAACAATTACAAAAAATAAACTATCTAGGAGGAAACGGAAAGCAGAAAACATTTTATCGCTCATTCCCACACGAATGTTCTGTTATCACTCTGAATAAACAGTGCCGACGGATATCAACTTATTAAGAGCACGTGTTGAAAAGATCATGGCAATTGTTCAAGGGGAAGTTCCTTTCGCGCTCTACTGCAAATACCTAGCGTGAAATACATTACCGACCCCCGCAAAGTTTGCGAACTTGAACTCAATCTTCTCTCTCTTTTCTTTTTTAAACGGCAAGCCAGTAGCCACCCTCGATAGTAATCCATGTTTCGGGAATACAAATATTAAATTGAACAGTTTTGTGAGTTTGATTGTTTCCAGCTGTTTAAAAGCCAACAGGTGCCAGGCACATCTTTCCACCAAAGTTCAACTTCGTTTTGATTATGGTTTTCACGAAAACGTCATATTAAGCTCGCCTAAGTTCGCCTAATTCTCATCGAAATGCGTTTTAATTGGAAAAAGACCCGGATGAAAAGGGTATTGTAAATGTTATTAAATTGACCTTAGCCGTGAGGGTAAGTGGGAGTGGAAAAAGGGAAGATGGAAGAAAGATAACGAGATAAACAGAGATGGGTACTGAGTAGAGAGAGAGAGAGAGAGAGAGAAAAAAAAAGGAGTGGTAATTGTTAATAGTAGATACACGCACGTGAACCTACCCATGGCGGTTGTACACACTTGCTCTTGCGACAATTTCTTACACTAAGCAGACACTTAACATCAACCGGGGACCCCAAAATACACCTAACTCTAACCGTAACCCTAACCTTACCTAAACCCTCTGCTACCATACCTCTTATCCTATACCTTTGATGAAATAAAGCCCAGAGCAATTATTACCTCATGCACGAATACTGGGTCACCAGGCATGACATATGAAATTGTAGCGCCCCCTATTGCCCCTACCTGCCCCCACGTCACCTCTCCTCTTCCCTTACCAGATCAGCCACAATCAAATTCGATATGTTAGGATGTTGTGTGTTTGTTTCAAGTCGTCACACACTGTCGCATGTAATAATCTGTACAGTTGGTTTCCAAAGAAACAATTGTGCAGCAGTCAATTGAGTTTGATGTGAGAAAACAAAGCATCATATTTCATAACTATTATGCACTGGCAAGTTTGTTTGTGTTCTGCTATAAAAATACGTCAAGACCCATAACATTCACGAGTAGATTCCGACTTTGTTATGGTCTTATGTTCCTGAATGAAATTAAAGTAAATGCAAAGGCATTAAGATAATGGCCAGTAGCCAATCGTCTTTTCGTCACACTTTTATTTCAATTTAATTTGTTCTTTGCTCGTATTTTGTTATTCCTTATCTGAGTTTTCTTCAGAATCTTCGCCTGAATATCCTTCATGGTGTTTCCTGCATTTAACTCACCTTTGCTGAACACAAAAGACTGTGTTATTTCCTTGACCCGATTCGACACTGAATTCTAATTTTATATTTCTGTTATCCTGCTTGTGAACGTTATCCTTCCTGAGTGTGTTTTCTTAACTTTGTCCTTGCTTCTTCTCAACAAACACCGCATCGGTGGCGTAGCCATGGGGGCGCAAGAGCCTGGGACACGCGCCCCCATTATGTTTGTTAACATTTACAGTTGGCATATGATCTAGGAGAATTGTTAAATGACTGCGATCGCTAAATTCGATTGGACAACTAACGGTCGTTATTTTCCCACAAAAAGGCATTTCAAGCCCTTTCGTTTTTGAGGGAAGTTCTAAATTAGTATTAATTTCAAATGCCGTTGGAATTTAACCTCTTCATTGTTGTTTGCCTGCAAATTAAACATAGAACCTTAAAGATATCTTGGTTAAAATATGGGTTATCATGAGAGTTTGTAGGCGCCTTGTTTAAAGCAACCCATGGGATCGAAATGCTCATGTCATGTGGGGGGGGGGGGGGGCGCCTCCTCAATTTCCAAACCTTGCACCCGCCGCTGTTGTATGAACATGATACATGTCTGACCTTGTAGTGGTTCTTCATAACAGTTTACCGTGACAACATTTCATTGGTGTCATATTGAACTCTTTGCAATTATGTTTCGCCAATGTATTTTGAGAGCATATAATAATAATTATAATAGTGTGGCTAATACACATGCAAATATGAGTACGTATTAAGTAGGTACAATATATATAGAGAGAGAGAGCATTAACATATTTAACTAAAATAGTATTTCATGACAAATATTATCATTAACTTTCAATTCTCGCCTATCTTTCTGGTTTGCCATCATTTATGCCAACAATTTGTTTTGCATACGATTTGCATTACCATGATTTATGCTTTCTAGTACTCTGTTGGTTATTGTTTGAAAATTTTATTTTATTTCTGCATTTTCGACATAATAGAAAGTTATATACAAACTAGGTACAGATACATTATTAGAAAAGTTGAAATACACATTAAAATACGAAATACATGTTTCTAACAGAGCTTCATCTAGAAATTATCACGGTTTTATCTGTATTTGCCCATTGCGTCTCCATATCTTAGGTGCGCACAAAGAACATACCCTTTCCTTCTGCCACACACTTTTTATTCCGCCATGCGTATTTTCCGTCGAGGCCACTCAATGAAGCCCTTCTCTCGAATTAGTATTAGCGCCCTCTGCCGGTTGATCTAATTCAACGTGGGATGCAGGTTTTTTTTAGGGAGGTTAAAAAAAGACTTTTGATTTAAGGGAGGTAATGTTAAGAAATGAACAAGCATTTAATTAAGGTGCTACTTTAAGGTTAAATTGGTATACTGGATTTTTTTGAGGCGCAAAATACAAAGTCTGTTACTATCCAACGTTCAAATTGTTTCTTTTATGGTGTCATATTGACCATGTTGACAGTCATGCTATTTCTGTATGCATCGTTCTCCTTAAATGTTATCTCATTTCTCCTTAAATATAATGTCCTACTCCCATAATGCAGATGTTAGGCGTTTAATAACTTACAGTCGAATACAATTTTAATTACATTATTTTATTCGATCATAGACCAGTCCATTCCTGAAATCAATGCCAGTAACTAATGTGAGCAAAATTAAAATGGTTAATAAGTCATTTGGAATCGAGTGAAGAAGCTAATATTTTGTGTCTATCCCATTAGTGAGAAATGAACCAGACTAAATGTCAATTGCTCTTGCATCTTGAACAAACATGTCACATCTTTAAGAAATAAATGACTGCAGCTAATCACAAATACTTGAACAGCGATGGAAGACCGAGATAGTCACCATGTTTACGCTTCCCTGGTCGAAAATCCGAGGCTGCATGTGACGATTAGAAAACAAGATAAATCGGTTTTTAAAGAATGATCTCTTCCCCGGCTCTAGATCACTCTCTGTCTCTATTTTGTCTCAGCCGGTAATTGCACGTCTCTCACCCGGCGATGCTTCTCCCCTGCTTTGCTACAAGACTCGAGTGGTTGTCGAGTGGTTGTGTAGATGAAGGCGAAACGGTAGACAATCTGAGGCGGGACTCGGGACCATCAAGAGCGGCCCTTGATGCCGCTCTGCTTCGCCGCGTAAGAGGCACTTCTCGAGCGCGGGCCCCCCTCGAGAGGGTCCTTGAGAGCCCCGTGTGAGTTTCATTGGGCAGAGAGAGAGTCACCCAAAATTCGCGGTACGGCGGCCAAACACCAACTTGATAAATTACCCTAGGAAGATTTTAAAGAACAATTAAAAGATGTTTCTAATTCGTTTGGGAGGGTGTCGGGGTTTTTCGCACGTAAACAAACGCGTGGCCATGCCGTAAAAGGTGAAATCGTATTAACACCAAGCACCAACTGAACTACACTAGGAACTAGGTCCATGAAGAGAGTAATCTAATTATTTAGAGTATATCATACAAATCTTTAACGTCTTGGGGCCTGATCTTGTATTACAAACAACCAATCAGTCACGCCAGTGTTGTAGAACATTGTGTAGACGCGGTGGTTTAGCGACAAATTTGAAAAAAAGTATACGTTATCTGTATCGCTCATGCCGGCGCTCATGATAATATTATTGAAGGTTCGTAGGGTTTTAGCGGAGATTTATCACTTTTGTAAGTGAACACAATTTTTGTTGTCTCGAACAATCTATTTGTTAAACATTAAAACTTGTTATATGGACCGCTCAAAGGAGAAAGTGTTCCTTATTGGCAGGTTTTATGTAAAGGTCATTTGCAACAGGTTTCAAAGAGAACCACTTTTCAAAGGCATGAGTAAAACGTGGTTATTATGGACAGGTGGTCTTTCTATACAAGTGGTCACTACTTAAGCAGGTTTGACCGTAGTTCTACAACCATCACAACCTGCACATCACCAGGAATGAACTTATATTTGGATGTCACCCGATACAGAAGCTGTTTCGCTTATCCATCTATTTTCTGTTTATACGATGAAAGTTTTTATTAACTTTGTACTAAATTTTCCTTTTTCCCAATCGTAAATATTGATTGTCACACGAAGCACACTTTAATAGTCAATAATATGACAACGAGACGACAACGAGACGACAACGGTTCTACATGATATAATATTCACCCTCTTACACCTCATTTATGCCATCAAATTTTCCATTTTATTGGAGGAAAAAAAACATCGTCAAAGTTTACCATTGCATATACACTGATCGTATCATTCATCAAATCCACTTTTATTACAACTTTCTTCAAGCATGTAATTGGAAAACTTGGATCTGAATATTTTCCCTCATCATATTTTTATTACCCAATTTGTCTCCCGCCTTTTTGGTATACACCGACGTATGTGCAACCATGGCAACCCCCATAATATCCAGCGATGATTTAATTGGGATTTTCCTTTTACAGAATAATCTTAAGTCTTAAGTCATAGGTGCATTAGAAGATATAACCCTGCTTTAGCCAAGACAATTGTCTATATGGAAATAATCCTTACGTGGTTCGGGGAGTTTGGTTTTGTATTAATTTGTTTTCGAATAACTATGTTTGTTTGCCCCAACTTTGTTAGCCTCTATTTTAATACCCGTGGCACGATTGGACATCAGAGTAAATAGCTATCCAGAAATGGGTCAATATACGTAGAAACTCCCTGTTTGTATATATTTTATATTTCATTTCAAACCATGATATTTTCGAAAGATATGAACAGAAAGTTCGAGTCATCGTCCTTGCTAGCAGGGATTAATCACGTTTGAATAATAGCCTGGAAAGCCAGATAAAACTATGGTATAGTATTATAATAGTAAAATATAATGCAGTAAAGTATAGTAAAAAGTCGTAGAGTATAGTTGAGTATATAAACATAAATAGTAAAGTATAGTATAGAAAAGTCTATAATTATAGTACAGTATAAAATAGTGTAGTTCATTATGCCTTTTCCACCGCTCAGACATAGAATATAACTGACAGGATACAACTATGACAATCTGGGTAATGCAAATGATCATGCATTTAACCATTTGCGGCACTTGCACATCATAAATACCTTACAGTTCTTTTCACACACTCACTTCATAAACCTGTCAAATTGAAATAGCAAAAGCTATATGTCAGACATGGTCCAGCAATGCCTAAAATCAGAATCACAGTGAACAGTTTGCAATTGGAATGCAATTACATTGAACATGCTTTTTCTCCCCTTTCGTGTTCAAATTGACGAAAATAATTCACATTTGAATGAACATTTCTGGCTCATAACGCGACCTTCAGAGGCTGGAAGTTAATGGGGAACATTTGATTTTCAATGTTCTCTCTGTGGAATAACAGGAAACAGGGAAAATACAAAAATCGAAATTCAGGCAAATGGCTCATGCATCATGCTTGGTTAGATGTGGAATGCTGAATATTGGTCTAAATTCAAGAGGCAGCCGTTCAAAGGTTTGGCACTCTTTCGGTTCACCACTGAAATTACATTTGATTGTGCTTGTCGGGTATTTTCTTTTCATTGTCATGTAAAGACTACCCACGTAAGTTGTGAGGAAAACACAAACATCATGATGATTAAGTAATGTTCCCGTCTGATCTAAATCTATACAAAAAACAATGGTTTCAAATGAACACCTATTTTGTCTTGCTTTACAAATGTACATGTATATCGGCTGTATCACATTGTGACATTAATTGTCCTGAAAATAATATTTAAGACTATAAGAAGGAAAACACAAACTGAAAGTTTTATAGAAAAAGGATCGTTGATTTATATGGAGAATGATTTATTAACAAAAAAAGATTTTCATTGATATCATGAGAGATAAACATTAAAAAAATGGACATATTCATAAATACATGAATAATTTAGCCAGAACTCATAGAGGTTCCTACCAAGTATGCCCGTCATCAAATGAAAGCATTTTACCAGTAGCTACATTAAGTAGATAATGATTATAGGACCTAACATGTCTTATTCGAAATATTGTGACACGCGTACATATTTGCCGCAATTTTCCACAACAATGATGCAGTCAGAAACTTTGTGTAGATCAATACGTTAATAGACGAGTGTGAACGAGGCTACTTGTAATCGATTATTTACTGTGAACGTCTCAGCGGTCAACATTGAACGTCACCTCAATTAGTCTCACTCAAGGCGTGTGGGGCTCTTGATATATATTAGCCACGCTCCATTTGAACCGATAACCGATGCGCTCATTTAAAAGCAATGGCAAGGGCAATGTTAGTGGTGACGTCACAATGATGACCTTCTTAACATCCCGATTACATTTTAGGGTTTAGGACGTGGAAAATCATGGATTTTTTTTGCTCGTGATTTTCGTCATTGATTTCGAAGTACGTTCAAAGAAATTATCAACGAGAGAAAAAAACGAGTAAGAGAGGAGGGGTGGGGTAAAGGTAAAGAGAGAGAGGGTGGGCGGGGGGAGGGAGAAAGATTGAGAAAGAGAGAGAGAGAGAGAATAGAGGGGCAGAGAGAAAGGGGAGAAACTTTGAAAACATAACCAAAACGTGTTCTCGTCTTTCATTTTGTTATTGTCACATATTTTATAACAAGATGATTTAATAATGTGTAATCAAAATGCGTGGATGGAATGATGTATTCGGCAACTCCTAACCAAATTAATTCTACTCCGTATTCACCTCTCACCAAACCTTGATTTTCCAAAACTTTTCGACTGATGTTGAAACATGTATTCAAAAAACAAAGTTCAATTACGTAGAACCTTTGATTAAATACCATCTGATGAGGGAATAGAATGTAAAGTGATATTGATGAAAAAGAAGGAGGAAAAAAAGGAACAAAGATGCTTGATAGAAAAGAGGAGCGTGAGAGACCTTGTAACATTCTACGCATCAGTAGCATTGACGTATTGAAAGTCAAAGAGGCAACCCGTGGTCTGAATTCTCCGCTAAAAGGCTCCCATTTCATCAATAGCTGGTCTCCGTGGAAATAGGCTCCAACAAAATACAAGATGCGATGATGTTTATTGCATTTTTTCTCTACTGGCCTTTCGCGCCAAAATTTACCTTCTTTGCGTACGTGGTCCTGCATACATAATAACCGCCGCTTTTTCGGCGCACTTACTTTTTTTGTTCGATACGTGATTTTCTTAAACAGAGGAGTGCACTTCCTTTTGCACTCTTTGAGGGGTATGTGGTGTGCGAATTAGATGACCTTTATGGCGGTTAATTTCGCGTGTTGCCGAATTACCTTTCGTAAGAAGTGCATTTTGTTCCGACGATTCTTGTAATAAAGGTTGAAAGTTTTCATGTTACTTGTAATAAGTAGAGTGCTTGCCATATCTGTATGTTGTTGGTGGGACTTCAGGTTAGTGCAATTTTTCCTGAATATCAACTAAATGGCTCACAAAAACAGTTCTCAGAAGGGCGTAACAAGTAAGCAGTCTTATTGTATTTCCATTAGAAGAAAAACAATATAACCTTTCTATTATGACCATCAATAATAGGTCTGCTGAGAGCCAGAAGAACGTTAATCTATTATGCTCTAACAAAGGATAAATACCCGTTAGTCTCTTAACAACAATAACAACAATAACAACAACAACAGCAAAAAAAGCAGTATCAAACATGGAAAATATGACAGAAACACGATCTCAACTACTTTTGACAAAATAGACTTGTTAATTTCAGTAGCCGTGTTCATTACCTATTGAAATGTACAAACATTACAGCGCTGTAGTATTACGTAATCAGAACATGATTTGTAGGAGAAATTAGGGTATTGATCTCGCCCTTGACTTGATTTTTCGAAAACAGATGCGATTTAGAGCCTATGCTGAATACTAGTATACAAATAATGACAGGTTTAACATATCTTGCATTGGTTGTTTAAAACCACCCTTCCATTCAGCATAGACGCAGCTTGCGACTGTTTTATTCAATATTGGTAATTATTCTATGAGTTGAGGTTGCTGAACTTCTTTTATTTTATTAGTATTTTTTTTTTGCATGGTGAAGAGGGAAAAAAATGGTATGGAACAGCGGCAATGGAAGTGTTGTAACATATCTGGTGCAATGGCGAGGGCGCCAGACTTGAACGCATGTCGCGCGGATCACATAGTTCAACGTACTTTCCCACATTATTTT